TGCGAGACAGCCAGGCACTGCAGGTTGGCCTGGCGCAGGGTGGGGTGGGGCGATGCAGCTGGCGCAGGAGCCCGGAGCTCTACAGGGCGGAAGCCAAGGGCTGTACCAGGTGGGGCAGTGGTGGCGGTGTTGGCAATGGCTGTGGTAGCGAACAGTGCATAGGACCAAGAGCCTCCAGCAGCCACCTGGGGGAAAGCGAGAGTCTTTATGGACACTTGCTTTCGCGAAGACTCTCACAGTCCAACCTGTCCCATCGCCATCTTGCTGGAAGTCCTCACATCTTAATTTTAATGAAGATTTTCTAGTCTGATGCTTTTGCTCCAGGAGAGATATGCAGGTCTGAACATTTTAAGTAAATCTTATCTCCTGTCCGAAATCAAATAATGGCACAGAGACGTGGAGTGCAGCAGAAGCGAGACGTCAATGACGGTCTTGCAAGATTGAGTGTCTGGTGGGCAGGCACCCTAATTTTGTTTTTCAAGGTTTAATAGTCCCTTTAATTTTGGAGCAGTCTTCCACTTCTTTTTTTTTTTTTTTCTTGAGATTGACATTTTTAAGAAACTGGGTCAATTGTTTTGGAAATCATCTCATATATTAAATTTGTCTAACAATGATTGTGCCTTTCAATTTATTCTTCTGTCCTCTGTAGTTTCTTTATGTGGGAAATTAAGTCTAAGGGCTTGTTTAGGTTGAGTTGAAAATTGTGGTAGGGGGTGCTCTATAAAATTACTGGTCATGTCCTATTGCATACCCTCAGGAGACACACATGCCAGATTTCCCCACCTTCATTGAAACTGTTTGGTAACTTGATTAATGTCATAGCCTCCATATCATCACATATCAGTGGTTCATTTTTCCCTTAGAAATTAACAAATAACCTGTAGGATAATACTTAGTTACATTGCCCATCATTCACCAAATAAATTACCTCCAAAATAATGATTTTCAGACTATTTCATTCCTCTGCATGCATCAGCCTTCATTCATCTGTAAAACTCTGATTGCCAAGGTATTATACTTTCGATTACTTAAAAAAAAATAACTAGAACAAAAAGAAACACAACCCTGGAAGCAGAGGTCAACAGAGCTGATTTCAGGCTTAATGTGCTGTCAAAAAATATTTTCTTTCATGGTCCTTATATTCTACCCCTATTTCTACCTTTTATGTCATTAATATTAATTTAAAGATCAGCAGCACTTGATATTCAGTTGTTATTCTCTTTGTGGCCATGACCCAACTTGAAGCATTAAAAGGAAGTTGTCTGAAATTTTTTAGCTCACTTTATCTGGGAAACTGATAACTTTTATTTTTAAATTTTTGTTTATTGTCTAAAGAAAGAACTAAGATTTTATAGTCCATAATCTTCAATTTCAGGTTTTATGTCTTTCTTACTCTGAAGCATATTTTGGAAAATTAAATCTTTGATATTGTTCCTTGGGGGGCTTGCTCCATATACTTCTTACTCTTTTCTTTCTTCCTTTTTTCTTTTCTTTCCCCAAAGATGTGCTTTTGGGATGTGTTTAGGCTGAGAAGGAAATGTCTTTTGTCATTTTAATGGAACACTTCTTTTATTGCTAAGCAGTGAGTTCCATAGACACATGGCAAGAAAGTGGTCAATTTATCATGGTTTGCTATACAATTCTCTCAGTTGTTCACTTTTGAACTTCAGGCCTAGTTTAATACATCAGTGGAGAGAGTTGAAATAAAGCAGCAATAGGGTCAAGGTGATGGGGAAATAAGAGAAGGGAATGGCATTTGTGCTCTCTACTGGCCCAGGATGACCTGCATTTAGCCTGGACTTTTGAGACTGGTCCCCTTCCTCCTCTCAGGTTCAGATGTTGCTTTAGATTTGAGCTGTCATAACTGAAGTTTAACTTGTCCATGTGAGCCCTATTATCCTCTCTGTGTTCATGACCCAACTTGAAAAAACAACTCACTGTTCATGTCCAGCATATAATCCAAAACATAGCTATAAGTACCCTGGAAGCTGGAATCTGGAGGCTTAGAGGGCTTCAGAGCATTCTTGCTTTCATGTAACTGACAACAAATAAGAGAGGCAGAAAGACAGCAAATGAATGAACAGGATAATTTTTTTTAGTGATGATTCTATAAAGAAAATAAAATAGAATGGCCTGATGGAAGGTGAGGAGACAGTTACTTTGCAGATAGAGACCAGGAAGGAATTCTCTGAGCAAGACTTAGATCATAAGAAGAAATCAGTCATGCATCTGAGAAGAAGTGGGCATTCCAGGCAGAGGAAACTGCAAGTGCATAGACCCTGAGGTGGAATGACTATGGCATGTTGAGTATAATGTAGTTGGAGTATAATAAACAAGGAGAAGGGTGGCAGGAGGTGGGTCCAAGAACTAAGCAGGGTTCTGATTACGTGGGACCTTGTAGATCCATCTAAGAACTTTGATATTCATTCTAACTGCAAAGGGAAGCTATTAACATGTTTAATATAGGAGGTGGCATAATCTGTTTTGTTTTTTGAAAAGATCACTCTGGTTGAATCTTGGCAAATAGACTAGAGGTAGGGCAAAGGAGGAGGAAGACAATTGAAGAGCTGTAGTGGTTTCCAGACTTAGCTATGGCATCTTTGTTTTCAATCTTGAATGATTTCATTTTGCCCTTTGTGGATATGGAGAAAAATATTTACTGTCCTTTGTAAATTAAAGAATTTAGTGTTTGAGCATGCCAGGAAGTATGGTCAGAGAGTATGGTAAATAAGGAAGAAAATAGATTTTATTTAGCTGCATAAGGTATGTTTGATTTGGTGGGAAAATATACCTCACATTCATAAACAAATATTGAATATCCTTTCTGTGCCAATTGCTGTTTTATGTGTCACCAAATTATTTAAGTGTTTCATTTCCTGTTTTATTATTTTATAAATTTTCACACAACAAACAAAAAAGTCTTACCTGGACAAAAATATGTTTAATAGTTGAAAGTTGTATCTTGTGTATCTCCAACGTTTGCATTCACTACTAATTTTTTTTTCTCTGAACTGTTCCGAACTCTAAATTCAAACCCTTCCCCCCCTAAATGAAATGATACCAATAGAAAAATATTTTTATAAACTTCAAAACACTCCACAAACATAAGATATGCTAAGTAGCAGGAAGTTTTAGTCTGGCTTTCAGATCCATGACAACTGTTTAAATAAATCATAGAGGCTTAAAATTTTTTAAAGTACAGTGGTCCATCTTGCCATTTCCAGTCCCATCTCACCTCTCCACCTCATCCCGTGTAGGGCTAGGACTATAGGGTAGGGCAAGTGAAATCAGGTCAGACCAAATCATACATGTACAGGATCAGATACTGTCTTTGTTTAAAAATGATATTCTATTCAATTTGAAATTTTTGCATAAACTTTAATTTTCTAAAATGCTGCATTAATATATTACTTATCTTGATTACTGATATTTGTGACACCCATTTAAATTTGCAACTGAGGCAGTAGCCTCTATCACTTCAGCCTAATTGCTGCCTTGCCCTTCTCAAATATGCCCCCTCCCCTGCAACCTCCTGCAGCCTAAACTCAACCTTGGGTCTGTCCGCATATTTTGAAAATATATGTGCATCTGATATAATCCTAGATTTAGACTTGCTACATAAATGGAGGAATTTTATAACTTTTTAGTGGAAGACACTTTATATTGATACTGACCCTGCAAAAGTTTTCCCCCAGGTCTTTTCATTCAGTAGTGTTAAGGAAGGTGTGGCAATTACAAAAGTTTTCAAATAATGGAAGAAGTTTTTAAGTCATTTACCTTCTTTATTGCCTTTTATATCTCTCTTAAGGGGGGAAGAACAAGACTGAGACAGGAACAGGGCATTGACATAATCTGAAGGCATCTGTGAGGCCTAGGGTATGAGATCTTTGCCTGGAGAATCATAGGTTTGGGTACATGGCTCACAGACTCATGCCACATGAAGGCCTGACTAGTAACATGGACCTTTGTGACTCAAGATGACCTGATAATTTAGTTTCTAGAAGACTCAGAGTAGTGGAAAGGATGAGGACAATCTATCTTTAGTGCAGTCTGGGTTCCTGGTCACATCATCTCCTCAGATTAAAACTCAGAATGGTATGATTCTTTCTTAGTTTTCTGTGTAGAACAGTAGAATCAGTCAAACTACATGGTTTGAAACCCAGCTCTTCTCTTGGTTTCTATGCATAGTTGGGCTTTTCTCTAAGCCTTGGTTTCCTCATTTGTCAAGTGATGGTAACAATTCCCCATTCAACAAGTGTTCATGTCTAATAAACGATGTGACATCCAGAAGGGCTAACATGATCTAACAGAAGAGATGTTCTACAAATGTATAATGATGAGTCTGTCTAAACTATTTCAAGAGTTTTTTGCACATTTCTAAGCTTTTTTGAAAGGCAAAGAATCAAGGCAAGACTATGTTTAATGCCTGCAGTATGTTCTTATTATCCACAATATCTAAGATTTTGTACTACTACTCTTAAATTTGCTGATATTGTAGTTAAAATATATGAAGTAACTAACACAGCAGAATCTTTTGCTTTCAGGACACAAAAACCAAAATCGCAATGTTTTTATTCAACTGCAACCTTAATTTCAAACCAATATAATGTTTAAAAGACATGTAAAGCATTAGTTAGTAGAATGTAGACCATTTGATTAATTACCTTTGAAGAAATATCATTTGAAAAGAAAATAAAAATTATCACAATACTACTAAAAAGAGGTTTGGCAGTAATGGGAAACTTCCGGGGTGGGGTGGGATTTGTAGTAGTGAGAACCTGCTGGGGGAGGGGAGGGCACGCCTCATTAACAAGGATACCTGCATAATGAACATTTGTATACCTAACCCTGAATTGTACCCTACATCTTTAAAATAAAATTTTTTTTAAAAGAAATGCATAAAGTAAGAAAATAAAACTAAATATGAGTCTCAAATCATTGGCTTCTATTATTTTTGATTTATGATTGAAGTTTGAAATATATTTATCTTTTATTTTGAGGTACTAAATCAAACTTCTCGACTTGAAATACAACTTCTGGAAAATTCATTATCAACATACAAGCTGGAAAAGCAACTTCTTCAACAGACAAATGAAATCCTAAAGATTCATGAGAAAAACAGGTGAGGATTCTTTTATTTAGAAAATATTACAAATGTATTTATTTGTATCCCCCACTGCTTTTCCTACTCTTAAAAAAATCGAGTTGAGGTAGTTTACAAAAAAGAAATAAACAACCAAAATAATTGTCAATATAAAAAAAAGCAGAGCATAAGTTGAATACAGCAAGTGTGTCGATAATAACATTAGTACTGCTGTTTACTTTTGAAATACTTGTGTTTTATAATTTTTAGCACTAATTTGTCTAATGTTCAGTTGTTCAAATCCCATCATATCTACAAAAATCAATTGATTCTAGGACTAAATTCAATGACACAAAATATTGATATTTTTGAGTAGCATTGAAATTTGTAACAATAAAGAAAAAATAAAGCTTCTAATTCTTACTCAAACCCTCAACTCTTAGTCTTTTGAAAAGCAACAAGTTGATTGAATTAAGAAATCTTGCACTAGAGAGAAGCAAAATGTATGTTTTTCCCCAGGAAATTATTTGACAATAAAGTTGATGAAGTTTTTTTTTTTTTTTTCCTTAAAGCCATTTACTGGAGCATAATAAATTTATTTGGTTAGCTTTATATATATCATCACACAGCTTTGTTTTTTAAACTATGAACCATTTCAGGTAAGTGAAATGAGACAGATATCTTGAGAGCTGGTACAGTGAAAGACTACGTTATTTTGAAGTTATCAAAATCAGTGATGCACAATTCAAAACACTGACCTCTATAGAATAATTATCTTGTATTTAATTGTGTTTTCTTTTGGCATTGGGGAACTTGAACTATCAGTTCTTGCACATAATATTGAGTTAAAGGCCATTGCATTGATATATACTAATTTAATTGACTTGGTAGAACTGCAGTTCCCTTCATATTTGAAACTAGGATGGCACTTGAGAAGGCTACTAGTTCTGTTTTACTTTACAGATGGAGGAACAGAGACTCAGTAGAAAAGAGTGACCTGTCTAAGGTCATATGACTTGTTAGTGGCAGAACAGGGAATGCAGTCCAGGTTCCTTTGCTTGCTTCCAATGTAAAACGTGGCCTCTTACTATCTAGAAACCAAAATGACTTTCCAACTTCATGCTAAAAGTAAACCATAATGGCAAAAATTACAATTAAACTTCTGCCTGAAAAACAGAAACCTGGCTGTTTATTATTAATGTCTATGACTTGTATTTTTAAATGTTATATTTATTTATCCTTGCACTGTGTCATGGGGTAAACTCTATAACTATAAATAAACTTGACAGGACTTGCTGCATGATGAATTGTTCTAGAATTGAAAATCTTGTTAAAAAAATAGCATTTATCCTACTACAGTTTCACAGTCGCCAGACATATACATGTGTGTAAACAGGTATACTTTACCTCAGTTATCTCTTGATCTAGGATCACTCCTTTATGCTTTAGTTTTGTAACTAAACATGAACTCCATTTATCATTACATATTTCAAGATGCTATTTGTGAAAGTAACTGCACAATATTTCTGTTTATAGGTGTAACTTAGGGTGGTTTTAATCCATCTTTCAGTAGGATGTTATTACTTGCTTTATCTTTTAAAAATTGCTAGCATAGGAAAGGCAAGACCACTAAAACCCTAACTTCAGCAGAAGAATCCAGATCATCAAAGTAAAAGCCCAAATATGGGACACAGAAGGCAAAAATATAGAAAAAAAATCAATGAAACCAAAAGCTGGTTCTTTGAAAGTCTAAACAAGATCAATGGACCCCTAGCCAGAATGACCAAGAAAATGCCCAAATAAACACAATCAGAAATGCAAAAGATCAAGTCACAACTGACTCTAAAGAAATACAAAAGATTATCAGAGATTACTATGCACACCTGTATGGAAACAAACTAAAAACCTAAATGAAATGGAGAACTTTCTGACATCACACAACTTCCCAAGGTTCAGATAAGAAGAAATTGAGATCCTAAATAGACCAATAACAACCCAGGAAATTGACTCCACCATAAGAAAACTGCCTACGGGGAAAAAAAAAAAAAAAAGCCCTAGACCAGTTGCCTTTCCAATGGAATTCCACAAAACATACTTGGAGGAACTGATACAAATCCTATTAAAAGTGTTCCAGGCAATAGAGAAAGACAAAATTTTCCCTAAACCATTTCGTGAAGTTAGCATCACACTGATACCCAAACCAGGTAAAGATCCAACAAAGAGAGAGAACTGTAGGACAATATCCCTGATGAACATAAATGCAAAAATTCTCAACAAGATTCTAGCAAATTGGATCCAATAACACGTCTCAAAAATCATCCACCATGACCAAGTAGACTTCATTCCCAGGATGCATGACTGGTTTGACATCCACAAGACTATAAATGTAGTTAAATATATCAACAGATGTAAAAACAAGAAGTACATGATCATATCATTAGACACAGAAAAAACTTTTGATAAAACCCATCATCACTTATTGATAAAAAACCCTCGAACTTAGGCATAGAGGGTACATACCTCAAAACAGTAGGAGCCATCTATGAGAGACCCACAGCCAACAGATTGCTAAATGGACAGAAATTAGAAGCATGTCCCTGAAATCCGGAATATGACAAGGCTGCCACTTTCATCCCTCCTGTTCAACATAGTGTTGAAAGTCCTAGCTAGAGCAATCAGGGAAGAGATGGAAATCAGGGGTATACAAATAGAAAAAGTGTAAGTTAAGTTATCTTTCTTTGCTGAGAATCTGATCCTATCCTTAAAAAATCCAAGATAATCTGTCAAAAACCTGTTTGCACTGATATGCAATTTTGACAGTTTCAGCATGTAAAAGCAACACGCAAAAGACAAACACATTCTTATACACCAACAACAAACAGGCAGAGAACCAAATAAAAAGCAGTCTAATTCACAACAGCCCCCTCCCCCCAAAATAGAAATACCTCAGCATCCTCCTAACCAAAGAAGTGAAATAAAAGACATTACAAAGAAAACTACAAAACACTGCTCAAATAAATTAAAGAAGACACAAATAAATGAAAAAAAAAAAAATTCCATGCTCATTTACTGGAGGAATCAATATTGTTAAGATATCCATTCTGCCAAAGGCAATCTACAGATTCAATGCTAGGCCCATTATTACCAGCATCGTTCTTCTCAGACCTGAAAACTACAATATAGAAATTGATATGGAACATAAATGACCACAAATAGTTAAATCAATCCTTAGACAAAGAAACAAAGCAGGAGGTATCACATTTCCAGACTTTAAACTTTATTATAAGGCTACCATAATCAAAACAGTCTGGTATTGGTACAAGAACAGGAATAAAGACCAATGGAACAGGATAGAGATTTTGGAAGCAAAACCACAACCACTGGGGAGAGGAGAACCTATTCAGTAAATGGTGCTGGGAAAACTGGTTGATCACATGCAGATGATTAAAACAAGACCCTTGCCTATAACCACACACAAAAATCAACTGTAAATGGATCAAACACCTAAATGTAAAATCTCAAACTATAAGAACATTAGAAAACGCAAGAGACACCCTTATAGAAATTGGAATTGGCAACCAATTCCTGATCAAAGCCCAAATGTCCATGCCATAAGAGATAAGATAGGCAAGTGGACCTCATCAAGTTGAAAAGCATCTGCAAAGCAAAAGAACCATTAAGAGAGTAGGGAGACAGCCCAGAGAATGGGAAAAAATATTTGGCAACTGTATATCTGACAAAAGTCTAACATCTGGGATCTACAGTGAACTCAAATGTACCAAAAGGAAAAAACAAAAAGCCTATGAAAAAGTGGGCACAATATATGAATAGACACTTCTCAAAAGAAAACATACAAGCAGCCAATAGATACATGAAAAAATGCTCAACCTCATTAATCATGAAAGAATGCAAATTAAAACTACACTAAGATGCCACCTAACTCCAGTCAGGATGGTCATCATCAATAAATCAAAAACAACAGCCGGCCTTGGTGGCTCAGCCTGTAATCCCGCACTTTGGGAGGCCGAGGTAAGTGAATTGCCTGAGCCCGCGGGTTCGAGACCCGCCTGGGCAACTTGGCGAGACCTCATCTCTACAATAAATAGAAATTTAGCGGGGTGTGGTAGAGCGTGCCTGTAGTTCCAGCTACTTGGAAGGCTGAGGCGGAAGGATTGCTGGAGCCCAGCAGGTCGAGGCTGAGGTGGCCGGGAGCGGCCACTGCACTCCAGTCTGGGCGACAGAGTGAGACTCCAACTCAAAACAAAACAAAACAAAACAAAAAACCATATGCTAGAGAGGATGTGGGGAAAAGTGAATGCTTCTATGCTCTTGGTGGGGGTGTAAATGTGCACAACCTCTGTGGAAAACAGTGTAGTTATTCCTAAAGATCTAAAAATTTATGTACCATACAACCTAGCAGTCCTTCTGGGAGTATACCTGGAAGAACTCAAATTATTTTATTAAAAAGACACCTGCACACACAGGTGTAGTGCTGCATAATTCACAACAGCAAAAACATGGAACCAACTGTGCTGCCCCTTGAAAGTGGACTGTATAAAAAAAAAATGGTACATATGCACAATGGAATATTATGTAGCCATAAAAGAGGACAAAATTATGAACTTCACAGCAACTTGCATTAATTTAGAGTCTATAATACTCAGTGATCTATTACAGAAAAAAATAACTGAGTACTACATGTTCTCACTCATAAATGGACCCTGAACATTTAAGAAAGGGATTGGAAGTAGCGGGACAACACGGGGTGGGGGTGGGGAGAGACATAACATCAATAAGGGCACCTGATCTCAAACCAGGCAAAGTGAGGAATGATGGGAAGCCCAAACTTTACCCGTATGGTGACCACTTATGTACCTAATCTTGAATTGAACCCCACATCTTTAAAATAAATCAACAAATAAATAAATAAATAATAATAAATTAAAAGTTGCCAGCATGAATTTATGTTCTCCCATTCTTCCCCTACTGATATGTGCAGTATCTTTTGTACTATATCTGACACTTCAGGTGCTACAATA